CTGCATTGCAATTGGCTCGCGGTGGAGCAACAAACGAAGCATCGCTCCGCAGTGTTCGCCACCCGGACCTCCGCCAGACAGCCGGGACTTCCTGCCGCGAGCGGGGCGGTGCGATGCGATGCGACGTGCCTGCGCTCTGGTGCGGCCTTGCGGAGGCGGCGGCGGCGGGCAGTGCGCCGAGCACGCAAAGCCAACGTAGCACACTAAACGACTCGTGAGATTTATGTCCGGAATGTCTTATACCTGGTTAATTTGTCAGATTTCACCTTTTCTCGGCTCAAAAACTACAAAAAAGATGTGAACGAAGAGACGAAACTTAGGTCATTTGTGGGCATTAAATCACGGACATCTTGAAATGTAACGTTCTGGTTTTGGGAGCAAAGTGAATGCTGGCTCTCATAATGATTCTCGTATGTAATCGTTTCGTAATCGTCTTGCTCTACGTTTTCTTTGCTGCTGTTGCCAAGATTCGTATGTGGAAGAAAACGTGCACTATCATTCACAAATAAAGATTATTACTTACATGTGGAATTTCTCTGTTGGATCCAGTGCACAACCTACCGTGTGACCCAGCGTTCTGAATGTTTGCATAGCCCCTCTGCCCGTTCCGGCAGCTCACTATGAAGGGATGAGGTTAGAAGGACACCTCATAAGTCGACATCCAGACAATGTCCTAGCTAAGGGAAGGGGTCTCTGGATCTTTTGTACGTAAAGTATGAAGGGTGAGGCAGCAAATGAAGTTATTTTCATGCTAGTACCTCCACGATATTACGCCATGACAATTTTTCATTGATTTAAGTTATCACGTACACTCAATATAATTTTAAAAATAATTAAAGGATCTAAGACGGAATTTAAAGTAAAAAAAAGCTCTTAAAAGTACAAAGATAATTATTTTTAACATACAAGTACATTTAGTCATTCGTTACGGAAATTACTACCTAGCATTTTTTCTTAAATTAAGTTTGAAGTTTCGGACTTGGCTTTGGGCCCAGAGCTTGGGGTCTTGGGGTTTTCTCCACACCCGAACCCTACCACGAGCTCGAACCAACGGGAATTGTGTCGTTGCACGCCCTAAAGTTGCAATTTATCCAAAGTTAAATTGAAATGCTCCTGGAATATCGATGCCTATTGCAAGCTACGATACTTATACGGCACTCTTCTGCTAGAATACTAACGATGCGAAATTGCTCTAAACAGTCCCATGAGAAGACGAGATATTCGCGGTATCTTCTGTTCGCACAGGCGATTTGTCACAGATTGATTTATTAAGCAATCATTCAATCGTTAATCCCGTAAGTATGGTGGTTGAAGTTCCCACTTTCGGTTATCTCCGCCAGCGAGGACCCTCTCCAGACGGAAACGGCTCTAAGCTTCTTATTGGTCTCCCGACATGTGTGGAAGTGGCAGTGCGTGTAAATGTGAATAGTGTGTAAGAAAAAAGGAGAGAACAAGAATGAGGAAGAAAAATTCGTGACCTGTCCGAGGCCCGTTTATTAAGGTTGATACTGCTCCTGCACACGCCTGGAATTGATCGGATAAACTTCGGAATTCGTCTCAGAAATTGCCTTGCCAAACTAGAGAGCCAATGACTGATTTTCGCAATCTCCATCATCATAGTATAGAACTATCATCCCAATGTACAAGGGAGGTTTCAGTATACAAAATAAATGGTTCGGAAGCGCAAACGGCAAAGTATATCAATGATGATGCCAAGACGTCAATCTTGGTCAGTGAACGTAAACTGGAAAATCTTATGCTCTGGAGCACAAGCTTAATGATTAGAGAACTAAAGGACTGCTAAGGCGGAATGGGAAGTCCCTCTAGGAGCAGTGTATCTCACGCTGAGAAGGTAACTAGGAAATCTGGGAGTGCGAATGGGGATGGAGTGCTGGGCATCATCCCCCTCTTGAAGAGTACAATGTCGCCTGCTACAAAAGTATTATTTTATCCCAGTAAGAGACACAATCCATTTCCAGGCGCGTCATTTATTATTTTGTCACACTAAAATGTTCACATTTAGGAAACTTGTACGGGTGCATTTGAGAATGCAGCCCAGTCGTGTATTGGGTCTACAATCGGCAAAGATTCAGAGATAACACGTAACATTCAGAGACCACCTATTTCTCCACGTCCACAACTAGTCCAACAAATGAAATTCGTGCCCAGCACTCTCACATGAAGCTGGTTGTGTGGTGACGACTATTTTAAGAGAAAGACCGAAGGACTGTCAAAGGGTATCGTGAATCTCAAGTAGACTGGAATTTCAAGAAACGTGCAGACCATCGAATGGTTCATAAAATGCCCGATTCCACCGTCGTTAAAGAGACGCAGGTAAGGATAGTGAACATGCAGATTCCAGAGCGAATCACAAAGAGTAAAACAAAATAACAAAATATCGTGATCTCGAGCCATACGTAAATAAAGTTGGAGAGACAAAACGCCACGTCGCAGTAGTGTATATTAGCGTTCTAAAGTATTGTATAAAGGACAAACGGAGCAATGATTGCAAACGAAGCCGGAGAACAGCGACACAAGTTTTCAGTGTCACAGAGTGACGTCTAACAACCTCACCACATATGACAAAGTGCTGTCTCTGGTTCACATGTAGTGAAACGGCTCATCCTCCGATAAAAGCAAGTACGACCCTGTTTGAAGGATAGGATTATCGTGAAATAAGAAGTAGTACAGTCACAGACGTAGGCTTCACGAGCGCTGAATGTACCACGGAATGTCCTCTAAAGGTGGTGGTAGAGGTTTTAAAGCACCGGCAAGTCCGTCATCGACTACGGTTGACCATCTTTCAATGGGACCTCGGCTTTTAATGGGAAGAAGGGTGTCTGGGCTTTAATCGGCTTTAATCGGTGGATGTCTGCCTGGGAATGGACATCAGTACTCGCAGAACCATCAGGACCATAGGTTTAAAAGCAAATTGTATCCCGATAGTTGCAAACAGCTGGTCCCCACGACTGACAATCTGGAATTTTTGTTCCGCTTTTACCTGCACACAGACAGCCCTGCTTACGGTGGAGTCAGAAACATTGTCGCTGGAGGATGGCTCAGGGACGTCATGTGATCTTCACCCACTAGTCGCAATTCTATTTGCAGTATGTTTCTCGTCGCACGCTGATCTGGAGAGAACACAGGGGAGCCGCTACAATACGCATAAAAAGAAAGAGCTTATTGTGGTGATGCCGAACTGGTGTACGCTGACATGTTCAATAGGCAGGGGCGCCCAGAGAAAAACAGGATCCTGGGGCAGTCGATCCAAGGGGGTCTCTTATTTCAAATTAAAAATTTCCTCCCCACCAATTCATAACCATAATTAATTTCCCCATGCATCAGAAGTACCTTGAAGTGTTAAATTTAGATTAGAGATAAATATATTTTTCATTTCTTTTGAATGAAAACAAAACTGGACCCCAAATAAATCGGGGTTTGGGGCAAGTAGCTCCAGCTGCCCCCCTTCTGGACACCCCTGTCAATAGACGTTCAGGGTTACATGACTTCGAAGGCGTTTCTGTCATTGTTTGGCAGTACATAAAGGAGGTGGCAGCCTCTTATGTTCGGCTCATTCAGGAGGTAATGGATCCTTCAATTTTCTTTCGTGGATAATAACTGACAGTGCCATTGAAACAATTGAGTGAACGAATATCCTGTGAGAGAAGATTCTGATCGTCTGGACTGGCCTGCGTGCAAACTAGACTTGAACCTCATAGAACATGCACAGGTTGGGTTAGAAAGGAGAATTGCAAGCAGACTGTCGCCTCAACGGACGATTCCAGCCATTAATATTGCCTTCAAGAAACGTGGGGGCAGATAACCTCATCAACGCCCTTCTCACAAGCCCCGCAACGCAATGCGGGACCTGCGTATGTTCCAAAGCCAACTGGGAAAGTGTGATCTCACGTCTTAATGATAGCTGGCATCTACCTCAGGCCCCAGTCTCTGTATATTCATATAGGCTCACGTGGGAGCAATTCTGATTGAACTACGGATAATTAACTTCTATTGAGTTATGTTCTTCTTTTTGTAAATCGTCAGCCATTCTCCTTCACACATGTCAGTTGCGTATCCACGGAGAGGGAAAGAACGGAAATCCCCCCCTAAAATTTTTCAATAGTAATATTAAATAATTATATAATGGTATAATTTTTTGCCAATATTAATTTTAACTTGTCACAAGACTTTAAAGCAAAAATATTTTCGTACAATTATTAAAAAGAATAAAATAGTATTGCAGCATGAGCTCATTGTAGGCTTCGGCATTTTACAAAATCTGTAATATGACTTATTCGACGAAAACGTTTTGAACTTCTCTTCCCAAAATTCGCCTCGGGATCCGCCCCTGTACATGTCGAAGGCTTCCGCGGCCAGCGTAATTGGATTCGCGGTCCAGATGACATCGCGACCTACGCATGACCTCCAACGTTTCTTGTTTCATACTGCGATCAACTTCAGGGCTGAATACATCGGTCGCATTATGCTCAGAATCAGTGAAGCACCCAAGGGTGGAGCAGATCATAGTTCCCCCGACTCAAAAGCCGATGACGCTTATTCACAAAATTAGAATTTAACAAGTTTCTGTAGTAACGAGTGTCATTGAATACCTCAAGTTAATACGTTAAAAATAACTATATATCAACAAATTTGCCATCCAGCCAATTTCATGTTTTCTTGAAACTTTTTTAACTTGTATATTTAGAAAATTTAGATAGATAATTTCGCTATTCCGTCTCTGCTAAGAATCTTATGAAAACAATGTCATACGAAAAGCGAAGTTTGGCAATATTCGGCCGGAGGGAATGCCACTTGGGGCCACTGTGCCTGGGCGTCGGCGTCAGCGGCCGGAAGCGGCGATTCGCGCGGAGCGGTGGTGTGCGTCGCGGCGCTGCTGGGCGCCCGCCA